ATCTCTCACCGTTTCCTATATCCCAATAGTTGCCCTCGAGAAACGCACAATCTGTATAATAAAAAATTAAAAACTGGAAAAAAGCCTTGATTTTCGATTGTGGCCCCGGGCCACTTTGACAATATCTGCAAATGTTAACTAGAAACCAACCAAGGTGGATTATCTGTAATTCCCCTGAAACTCTAGCTTTGCTTTGGTTTCACTCAGAACTAGTTCGGAATCATTTTGCATGTGCGCATGTTATAGAACGTGTTTTCGTTTTTTCAGAATCGTAATTGAACTGTGTTGAAAGCGTTTTGGTTGCCTTAAAACTGTATAGGAACAATTCTGCGATTGTTCTAGAACGGTTCTCTCAGTTCTTGCTCTGTAAGAGGAACTGCTTTGGAATTTTGTGATTTGCGGCTTGTTTCAGTTTTTTTGGTTTCGAATCGGTTAGGGAATTAGTATTGGAACAGTCGTCCATTATTTTTTGTGCGCAAGCAGTTCTGCGCAATCCCAGAACCGTTCCAAATTGCGAACCAGAACAAAGCTACTGTCTAACTTATAGTACTCATAACTGCGAAATTCGCTCTTTTTGACATTGCTTCGACAATTTGACGTTTAATTCACGCATAAAACGTCAAATTGTCGGAGCAATGTCAAAAAAGAGCGAATTTCGCTGTTATGAGTACTAGGCTATACGCTAGGGAAAAAAAAAACTACTAAAATAGGATAAGAAGGCCTGATTGGTTGGATGGCGGCTTGACCTTCGTACACTTGTTTTTACAGGAAAAAAAAAAACACGGCAAATGTTACCCATGTGAATTGAGCCAGCACCAAAAAAAAAAAATACAAAATACAGGTTTATTTCACCACTAATTTGCCAATTTCCTAAATTCAATAGCTGAAAAAATTCTAAAAAAAAAGTTTTTTCCCTTTTTTTTTTAATTTCAAGAAATTGTTTTACTTAAATATTGATAGAATAGTGAAGAATAAATTGGTGAATAAGGGGTGGAATAGTCCTGGAAAAATGTGCAAATGTTACCTTGTTTGTTTCTCGGAGCAATTTCAGTAATGGAGTATAGTCTCTTGCCAAACCTGATTCAATGTCCACACTGTCACTGTCACTCTGTCACAGTTTCTTTGTTCCAAGCACCGAGTCCTGCTTTCGGAAATGGCGAAATGAAATACGAAACGACTGTCATTTACCCGTCGAATATTGAGATTTCACACAAAAAAAATCGTAGCCTTTAACGCTAGAGCCCGAAACCGAGAAGACGGTGAAAACGGCGGCCTCGCGGACAATCGCGCCACGGTGAGTTCGAACAGCGCACGCACTTCAACTCCGTTTTCTGGTTCGACTCGTACTGCTTTTCGCCGAATGCCGAGCCGAGCACTGGGCGGTTGCCATGTAGTGATTCTGTCGCCACGGCTTCCGCTCTCTCTCTTTCTCTATTTTACCATTACCTGCAAGACGAAGACGAAGAGCTTGGTGGCGGGAAGGACAATGTTAAGGAAGGGGCCATTATGACCTTTTTAATGGCAGAACTTCAGATTTTAAATCTGATTGGTTGATTTTTTCTAAATTTGTTTGCGAGGAGAAAAAAAAACCTCACATCGGAATTAGCTCAAATTTGGGATAAACATTAAACATTCTTTGATCGATTATCTACAAACCGAATATTTTAGTTTTCTGTTTTTTTTTTTTTTCGTTACCTCATTATTTATTAAACCCTGGAAAATAGGCAGCCAGATATACACATATACCTATTATTTTTCATTAAAAAAAAAAACGTAAAAAATCGGAAAACTAAAATATTCGGATTGTAGATAATTGATCAAACAATATTTTTGAGCCAATTCCGATGTGATGCTTTTTTTTTTCTTTGCAAACGAATTTGAAAAAAACAACCAATCAGAGCACAGAACTGACATTTGAAATCTGGAGTTCTGTCATTGACGTCACCTTAAGGCAAGGTTCCTAAAATTAATAGGTCGTCTGGTAATGGGTAACTTGATGACGTCATCTGCGGTGCCTTATGCAGATTTGAATTTTGGCATCTCAGATGACGTCATATACTAAGTCAGACAACCTACCTCTCACAAACAACCTTGCCCTTAAAGCAAGGCGTGCTGCTTTACCAGATTGTCAAAAAAATACGCAAATTTGATGTCTGTTCCAAAATTAAGTAGAATAGGTGTAAGCGCTTTTAAGAGTGCGCTTCTCGATGCTGAAAATCGCGTTTGCGACTATGCTGTTTCAATAAAAACAGTTGCATCTAGGAAATTTTAACCGATAATTGTTTTCAAGGATATGTTTATGTGCTTGTTTGACCAGCAAATTTTTTTTGATTTTTCTTCTTTTATAAATTTTTTTTTTTTCAAAAAATGAGAAAAATCCAAAAAAAATTACTGGTTAAGCAAGCACAAAAGTACATTCCTAGAAACAGTTTTTGTTAGAATTCCCTAGATGCGACTGTTTTTATTAAAACAGCATTTTCTTTCGTAAAAAGCGTTCATACCAGCACTTATTATCTAGTCTATTACTTACATAAATTGGAGGCAAATGATTTGGAAATCGTGAGTGACGTCATCACTGATCCCGACATCAAAAAACAAGTTCACATACCTACGGACTTTCTTGAAAATTCTGGAAACTTCCATAGAATTATATTTCGAAACCGTGAGTGATACACATCACTGATTTCGACATCGAAAAACCAGTCACACAGTAATTTTCTTGAACATTCCATCGTGCTCTAGTTGGAAGTTTGACCTCGCCATAGAATTTTAAATTCAAAATCAAATTTTGACAAAGATACAGAATATTCTATGTGGTAATTACACGAAAGCCAAAATGAAGCAAGTTGAATGTTGGCGGACTTCATGAAGAATTTGGACGACAAATGACAAGAAGAAGCCGCAAGCAAGACATACCGAAAATACTGAAGACTTGAAGACATAAAGAGAGACAAGAAGAGGAAGCCCGAAGACAGGAAGAACACGATCGGCAACAGGCAAATTTTGAATTCCAGCGAGAATCGAATCAAACTGTAATCTCTGAGGAACAAACCAAAATCGAAAAAGTTCTGAAAGTACAAGATAATAAATTCAAGAATTAGGGTTGTTTGGCTAATGTTCAAACAAGAAATAGTTCAATGTGTGTCGAGCCTTAGATATTTTGGAACTGCTACATTTGTATTTAGTTTGAATAAGGTTTATTCTGTGGATAAATAAATAAATAAGAAGATTATTTATAATTTTCTATTTTTTGTATTGGTGGCTACATCCTTTTCAAATTTCTCTTCTTCAAGTTCTTTGTCCCACTTGTCTAATTGTTCCTCAGTTGCAAGTCCACTTCTTAAAAGTTTTGTGTGCTCTTGCAACTGTTTGTATTCGGCCCTTTCTTCGGCCATAAGTTTATTCAGTTTTGATTTCGGCAGTTAGCCTCTTCTTTACAGATGCAAATGCCTCAGCAGCATCCAGAGACATGTCCACGCTGCTGAACAAAGTCCTGCACAACTTCAGGGGTTGATCCAATCAGCCGGCCGATTCGGTTTCGCGAATGGCTTTAAGGCCTCACTTATGGACATCCAGCTTCGATATTCGATTTTGATGACCAGGGTGCCAGGGCAAGCTTTTCCCTTACCGACCATTTGCTTTGCAGTCTTTCTCGGATTAGATTCTGCATTTTTACAATGTTTTCTGCAATGGAATGTTTGTGGTGGTCATAAAGAATGTGCGAAGGGCAAAATGAACATACCTCATTCAATCAGTGAAAAGTACCAAACAACTACGGTTTCAGGTACTCTTGATTTTCTTGACCACAAAGCAAAATGCTACAGAACACAGGCAAACAACGACAGAACGTTCAATGCGACAAAAAAGCTGTGTATCGCTTGGGGAAAATTTTATTACTCATTTGTTGCCAATCCTGGCCTTCAAAATAATTTTTGAATCAATCACTTCTGTTTCAAATTTAGACCACCTTACCACTCGAAGAAAAAAAAAATTTATCCTAATATGTATATCAAAAAATAAAGATTTTACAGGGGTGGTAAGTCCTTAAGGTAAACACACTGGTTTATGAGTATATTAATCTAAACCAAAGACAAGAAGTTTCCACAATTTTATTTATTTGATGCTGTAACTTATTCTTTCAGTACAAGGTGCCTTCTTTAGACAGAATAATTTTCAATTGAATACTTTAGTTAGCAAGTTCTAACCTGATGGAAAATTTAATATTTTAACCTGATTCATATACAAAATACCTATGATAATCTTGAATAGCTAGCTAATAAATTCGTTAATCATGAATCATTTTTTTATCGCAAAATTAACCAAGGCCAAGACACAATAAGGTTTTTGTCAGCTCAGCTAAAATGCAGGTATTCTTATCGCCAAATTTGATAGTCTTTATGATAATATTTTAAGTTTCTTTTATTATTTATTCTTATCATAAGGTAATTTATGGTTTCCGCTATAAATGCCCATTGTTTTGTTAGTATTGAATTTTTTTGATTGCAACGTTTTCAACAATGAGGGGATATTAGATAAATGTTGCTTTTTTAAGCTTTGTACTTTATGTATAATTTATTGTTTGAATATATCAGACAAATTAAAAAATATTTTTTTTTATACAACTGTCAAAAAATGATGATGTTCCCACACTCATGACAGTTTCCGAAGAGACACTTTTTTTCCCAGGTATTGATTTCTTAACGTTCCCATGACGCCGTGAGCGAACAAGCTATTTCGCACACTAGTGCGCGAAATAGCTAGTTCGCACACTGGTGTCATGGTGACACATACCTGTCAGGAAACCAAAAATAATTAAAATTCACCTACCTTTGATTGAAAATGCAATTTTGCCTTCGAATGATCTATATTTAAATGCAGTTGTAGAAAAAATATTGTTTGCAACTCGGGCGCGAAATACTTTGGTGATCTCGACTATTTTTTATACCAAAGTAGCATTTCGCGCACTAGATACAAAAATAACTATTATGATTTATTTCCAGGTCGAAAAAGCCCAAGAAACTATTGAAGCAATTGCCAATGACCTTATCAAAAACATGACTTTTATAGAAATGCATGTGGACAACAGACTGTTCAAGCATATTATTGGAAAATCTGGCGCTAACATTAACAAACTCAAAGAAGAATTTAATGTTAACATCCAAATTGATGAAAGCGGGCTAGTGAGAGTCGAAGGTAGCCAAGATGATGTAGCTAAAGTTAGAGCCGACTTGGAGCAAAGAGTTTTCAAGCTAGAAAATGAGAAGGAACGTGATGTTATAATTGACCAGCGACACTATAGGAATATTATTGGCACTAAAGGCGAAAACATCAGGGAAATTAGAGACAAGTACGAACAAGTCCAAATCATTTTCCCCGGACCTGGAGATAGAAATGACATTGTTAAAGTGAGAGGACCAAAAGAAGATGTTGACAAGTGCGTTAAGTTGCTGGAGAAGAAAGTTAAGGAGCTTAATGAATCCTCATATCAAATCCAAGAGCCAATTTACAAGCAGTTCCATAAGTTTATTATTGGGAAAGGTATGTACGAACATGTTTATTTTATGCAAGTTAGGCTTAACTGTGGATTGACTTAAATATGGCATTGAAAACTGTTGATCAGGATTGAAACTTTAAAAATAAGTTGGATTTGACTAAAATTTTAATTCAGTAGGGTTTGTGTCGGATTCACTTTAAAAGTAAAAAAATTATGTTTAGTGAACTAGTAACTTGACTACTAATATATACAACTTGTCAAATATACGAAGAGACCTGGCGATTTGACCATCTGCGTAGATAACCGATTGAGAACGTATTCTTCACGTCTCCAGGTATGTTTGATAAGTGGTACTTTTTTGATTTAGTAAACTGTATCGGTGACTGATACCTATCAAATCAATTTTTTTCGAAAACTAAGCAAGATTCAAAAATAATTGCAACGACAGACTTGGGGGTCCAGAGGGAGTATGTAGATTTTGTATAAAAAAATCCTCGAAAAAGTCATTGAGTAGCTCTGTTCCAGCCGACATGAGAACCGTTCTAGAACGGTAGTTTCCAGTCGGTCAATTCGGTTCTGTCGGTTGGAACAGAGCTATTACCTTAAAAAAAAAAAACGTTTTTTGGTGATTTTTCCGAAAATTTTCCGCTTCTGAGATAAGAGAGGTGGTAAGTTTTAAAATGAAAATCTGTACCTAAACTGCTCTCAAAAAAAAAGCGGGACAAGCAACTTTAAGCACCATATTCAATTTGTAATAACTTGTTTTAAATATTTTTTTTCTCAATGAGGTTTTTGGTATTTGAAAGTCCATGTTTTATAGTTCATGGAAAAAAAGTATTTTTTTCAAGGAATGCATTTCTCAAGTAATATACAGGGTGAATAATAAACTGATGCAAAAGTACAAAGTTGGATGTCTGCCATATTGGCAATGTGTCTTTTTCGGATTTCCGTATAGATGATTAGTAAGTTAATATCAATATCTCCAGACGTATGGGCCAGTTTTTTGATAAGCAGATACTCTGCTAAACAACAAAGTTGGCAAAATCTTGTTAGCACAGTGTTTAAAGGGCTGTAGCTTGAAAACGGTTGTATCGATTTGGAACAACATTGCAGGTTTCGAAAGCTTATTTTTTTTAGAGATTCCACGACACTTTTACAGTGGGGAAAACGTTTCACAATCCATTAAACCGTAAGCCGCATCGTTTCAACATGGTACTAAAATTGATCTTCAGGAGGGTCTAATGCAAAAACGAAAAAATCATCCCGACATATTGGCCCAAAGTATCACCTAATCAATTTTCAAAGAAAACAAAAGGCATACAGACCAATTTGAACAGGTTTAAAACGAGGGGTAAACCGCAGATCAAATTTTGTACACCAAATTACACAGCCTCACATGATTACACGAATTTATCAATAATTCACAGAGCTATGTAGAGATTACACGGACTAAACACAGATTACACAGAATAAACAAAAACTATACAGATTACACATAAATTATGTCCATGATAGAGAGACTACAATGATTTCACTAAGATTACACAGGAAAATGGGTCAGTTTTCAAAAATTTGTAATCTTTGATAAATGTCCTTCATTTTTTATTGACTACTAATACCTAAGTAGGTACTTAATTTCAACAAAAATCAAATGGAAATTTTTATTTGTTTTGCTTCCAAAAATTTCTCGATTATCCTACTACAATTTGAACCTGCAGTAAAAAACTTTCAAGGATTATCTAGAGGATTATTCACCTACATACATTTTAGGAAAACTAACTAGTCCCCATTCCTATCCATATTTACCCTGTAAGAGAATAGAAAATATCATGTAGGTTAAAGGTTTTAGGTTTAGGTGTGTACAGGGTCATTTTTTTATATTTTCTCACCCCCCTTAACTTTGCCACTGTATATAAAAAAAAGTAAATAGGAAAGGTGTAGTGCTTGAAAAATAGTTCTCACAAGACATAATTTTGTTCATACAAGGGTGTTGCAGAACATTTGAAAAACAATTTCATTTCATTACGAAAACGATGTTTAGTTGTTAAGCTTCTACTTCCCCTTTTCAAGTTCTTATTGCCTTGGATTCCCGACTTTTTCTTTTGTATCTTTCTCAGGGACATTCTCATAGCCCTTAATACTCGATCGACAACCAACCCTACGTCTCTTGAAGAAACCAAATTAAAGTTGAGCCCTGAATAATCTCTTAATTGTAGCGAATTGCAATTGCTGAACCCTGATGTGTGAAGAAATTCTGTGTCTTCTTTTGGCAAGTCGGATTCAAGATTCGAGAGAGGTTCATGTCTTCATTTATATGATCTACAACATTGTCATACTTCAGGTCTGTTCTCAGAGAAATCACAAACCAGTCAGAGCGAATTTCATTGGCTGAAAATAGTCAGAAAACTCGTTGTTGGCGATTTGCACCAATCAAAAACGCTCCGATTCATTTGTGATTTCTGTGAGAACCGAGGTGAGAACTGACCTAATCTTCATCTCGTTCTTTTTCTTCTTCAAGTTCTAAACTCTTCTCTCTCTCAGGTTCAGTTGTTGGCTCAGTTATTGAGAAACTCGTTGGGATGTCAAATTGATTTCAAATTGTCTAGCACTCAGTGTTGCCTAAAACTTAGTCTTAAAGGCAAATACACAACTGACCGGTACGCCGCGCCGGCCGTGTCGTTTGAAATGTATGATATTTGATTTCTGGGTTAGAATGAGATGATATTCCCAGCGATTACCACATGATTCTCAGCGATTGCTAGTAGATTCCTATGTGATTCCCATGGAGTCCTAAGAGATTCCCAGGGACTCTCAAGTGATTTCCCTGTTTTTCCCGATCGATTACTATGTGATTTCAAAGATAATGTACAACGATTTCTACGTGGTTTCCCCTTGAGTGTTCCATTTAAAAAAAAAATATACAGGGTGTCCACTTAGTGCGATATCGGACGATATCTCCTTAGAGGGTGATGCAAGAAAAAAAAATTAAATTAAAAAGTTGTTTGATACTCTAATATGCATTAGTTGAAAATATTTTTGAATATACAGGGTGCTCCGTTTATGGGGTATGCGACAGAACTTTGTTATTTTAAGTAGAACACCCTGTATGTGATTGCATATTTGGATTCTACGTAAAATTCTGAGCAGATTTCATGTAATATACCCTATACCTAAGTTCAACTGTTTTGAAAATATTGACAGTTGAAAATTGACTTTTTGCAACTTTGACAGGCTGTAAAACCTAAACGGTTAATTTTAGACGAAAACCGATTTTACATTCCTATCTTAGATTTTTATAAACTATCATTTGACACCAACTTTGAATTTAATCTATGATTAAAAATTCCAGTTAAATTTAATCTCTGGTTAAATTCAAAGATGGTGTCAAATGATAGTTTATGAAAATCTAAGATAGGAATGTGAAATCGGTTTTTGTCTAAAATGCACTGTTTAGGTTTTACAGCCTGTCAAAGTTGCAAAAAGTCAATTTTCAAGTGACAATATTTCCAAAACAGTTGAACTTAGGTAAAAAGTATATCACATGAAATCTGTTCAAAATTTTATCTAGAATCCAAATATGCAATCACATACGGGGTGTTCCATTCGAAATAACAAAGTTCTGTCGCATACCCCATAAACGAAGCACCGTGTATATTCAAAAATATTTTTAACTTATGCATATTAGAGTATCAAACAACTTTGTAATTAAATTTTTTTTTGTGGACACCCTGTATGTCTACATACATATAACGGGTGTTCCTAAATATCATGTACAAACGAAAGGGGGTGATTCTTTGGTTAATTTTATGACTAAAATTTCTAATAAACATAGGTCCGCAAACGCTCCGTTACCGATCTACAGGGTGTAGAATTTTTTTTTTTTTTTTTAGTTTTTTATTTATAGCTCCTGCAATTTTTGAGGGATTCTACTCAAATTTGGAACATAGGTTACGCAATAGAAGCTGAATGATTGCACATGTCAAACGTTTGCGAGAATTTACAGGGTGATGTTTTTTCAGGGGTCATGCCCCCTTTTCTGCCCCTGAACTTTTTCGCGGTGCGCCGCTGGGCGATTCTAAGAAATAAAATAATTTTTCTACCCTATTTAGAAACTTTTTGTTCTCTTGTAGTTTTTTCGTATCACCGACCCTTATCGAGAAAAAAATTAAAAAACAAATTTCTGTAATTAGCTAGATGAAACTAAAGTGTCTCAATAAACCTTTTCTACCTACAGTGGCGACAATAGAGATCCCGCAGCCATATTCTTGCTCATTTTCAATGAAAATCTATAAGTAAGATACCCCTCGCAGCCATATTCTTGCTCATTTTCAATATAAATAACTTAAAATTTCAACACCCTGTAGATCGGTAACGAAGCGTTTGCGGACCTATGTTTATTAGAACTTTTAGTCATAAAATAAACCAAAGAATCACCCCCTTCCGTTTGTACATGATATTTAGGAACACCCTGTATATTTTTTTATTTTTCAAACGTTCTGCAACACCCTGTATGAACAAAACTGAGAACTATTTTTCAAGCACTACACACACCTTTCCTATTTACATTTTTTTTTTAAACACAGTGACACAAAAAAATTAAGGAGCGTGGAAAAATAACAGTACAGAACAAAATGGTAATAGTATATTACATGCGGAGGTGGAAAGTGTTTCATTTTTGTCGAAAGATACTATGGTAGACCGAGGTGCGAAAAGCAGAGGTCAACCAATTCTCGAGACAATATGTGAAAACTTTCCACCGAAATATGTATGTGTATACTATTTTATTTTGAACCATTATTTATTGAGAAAAACATAAGGTAGAGATATGACAAAAATGGAATTTCGACTGACACTCTGACACCGACATTGACATCTTATGAAATTTCAACAATATAAACATAAACACATGTGACATCTACTTCTGAATACAAACATTACACCTGGATTTGTGTTTTTTTCGCGTCCACTTTTTTGACATTGGTTCAAAACAGGTTTGAAACGGGCAATGATGTTTCCATTGACTGTTTCAAACCGGTTTTGAACC